ACGCGCTATTCAATGATCGGAAAAGTATAACGTGCTGAGGAATTAGACGTTCAATTTTGGTCAAAGTAGTGAACAGTACTATTTAATGAAAGAGGAAAACTAAACGAAGAAATCAATAAGAAAGGCGCCAGTTATGAACGACATGTATATCAGTTATGAACGACGCCTATACTCGTATTCAGCCCACCCACACGCATTCTCCTTCTCACACACACGTATATATATATATATATATATATATATATATATATATATATATATATATATATATATATATATATATATATATATATATATAAGGGAAAGAAGTGTATACCTAAGGGCTCGTTTTTCCGTCTTTTAACACAATATTAATGAGATCTAACAGACAGTAATGCCAAGGAATGTACAGGGGAAGTTATTAAAACCAATGGAATGTAAATAAGAAGAAAGAAGAAAGAAAAGTGGATGAAAAATTTGCCACGCCTGGTAAATTTTTCATCCACTTTTCTTTCTTCTTTCTTCTTATTTACATTCCATTGGTTCTAATAACTTCCCCTGTACATTCCTTGGCATTACTGTCTGTTAGATCTCATATATATATATATATATATATAATATATATATATATATATATATATATATATATATATATATATATATAAGCAGACGCACATATATGCGCATACAGAAAGAAATAGAGAGGAATAATAACAGACGGGCGCACGCACGTTCCTATAATTGCAGTTTTCGTAAAAACCCCGAGGGCAAGTGAAAATGATTTCCTTCCCTACCTCGCGAATAAGGCTTCAGGTAGAGATACGAGGAGTGAGGTAGCAAAGTAAATGAAACGGAGAAAGTTTAGGTTCTTCCACAGTTACTTTTTTCCCCTTTTTATGGCCGTTGTTTATATTAATGGTTTCAGGGACTTTTCACTGTTGGTAATTTACAGAATAGGGCCGTAACCTTTGTTCTAGCTCATCCGAACGTAGAGCGTGTGGGTTCAGGAAGATAAAGTTTTGACTTCAAAAAGAACGACCACTGTATTTGCCATCTCCGACGTCTTGTTTCTCTCTACTCGCGTTCAAAAAAAAAAAAAATCACCATTTACTTTTACACTTGTTCCTCTCTACTCGCGTTCAAAAAAAAAAAAAATCATCATTTACTTTTACATGCTCTCTTCTTGAGTTTATCGACAGGGAAACGGCGGTTGGAAACAATTCTGAGAAATACCCCGAAAGCACGTCTTTTTGCTTGTCCTCTTGTTCATCCTTGACGGTAATGAGCGTAATCTTAGTGTTGGAGCAGCAATAGACCGGGATAAACATTCGAAGCGGATGTAGATATTGGAAGGGCGGCGCTTTTCATTTCACCAATATTATTTTCCGAAGAGGCGAAGTAAGAAAAGCGGCTTAAAAATAAGTTGGAAGAACGTAGAGACGTCATGTCGGAGCTGGCAATTATCCTCAGGCAATAGTACGGCCAGTGTTTTCTTTCAATTGAAGCAATATATGCGTCTATGTGCACGTACACATTTTAGAAAATTCCAACTTATATGCAGATGTAGCGGATCTCACATGGAGCTTAGACGTTTCTGCGCTCGCAGTTCTTGCGATATAATGCAAAATTTTAAAAGATTCCGTGCTTTAGTTGGCTCAGTCCTTAATTGAATCTTCGCTCACATGCAATTTTAAAGAAGCATAACTTTGTCGCAGAGTGCACTGACAAAGTGCGGGTCGCATATTGATTTGTGTCGGTTAATGCATATATAGTGCACTGTTCGAATTTGAGCGGTGTAATATTACGAAGTTGTTTCTGCGTAAGTTAACAGCTCCTGTTTATCAACAAATAAGCCTTCATTTCGTCATGCGCTGCGCACTTATTATTTTTCATATTTGTATACACCTCTGTAGGAACGTGACGAGACCTAACAGTGGGCACACTAAAATATTTAAAGATAAACAATAAGCTGGTCGTTTGCGAACGCTGAAAGAGTGCTTCAACTGCAACGTGCGCCCGTGTCGAAAGGCGTGCGGGGTATAGTGGTGATATGCAGCTTTCTGAGCCTCACGCAGGAAGGCCTGCCAAAAATACTCAAAAGTATTTCAGATGACGTTCGATCGTCAGCACGTATAGGGTGTACTAAGGGGCGTAGCCAGCGGTTCTTTCCATGGGAAGGGGGCTCGCCTACTTGATTGATTTTGGGGAGGGCACCTCCTTAAAATTGTCATTTTTACCTCTCTATGCCGTGGCGAAATGTTTTTTTTTAGAGGGGGGGGGGGGGGCACGGGCTTGGTGTTGGTGTGCCATTACCTGGCTACGCCCCTGGGTGTAGCTTTTTACTGTGGCTACAAGCCTAGATTGTGTTTTGTACGTACTATAGGTTAGGTCTCGATTCCTATTTCAGATGGCTGGTGGAAAGTACTTTATGATCGCATTGCTAGGAGTGACATGGTAAGCATTTTTATGTACATTCCGACACAAGTAAAAAATAAAAAAAGTCAAGTGACGAGAGTAGTGTTTTTTAGAACAGAAAAGCGAGCTAGCAAAGTGACGATTGCTGTTCCGTCGCTGAAAGATTTCCCCAGTATTCTGTTTTTCCTTGAATGGCAACGAAAACGCTGCCATCGCGTCCTGCAGAAGCCCGAATATGCCGTGATTCCGCGCTCAGCAGGCGCAATGCTGCAGACCCGAAAGTGTTTCGCGAGCTTTTAACTCCATTTAACGACGTTTGTCTGGGGATGTACTTCGCTGCTTAGAACCATTTCACCTTGAAGAGGGTCTATATAGCGGCAGCGCTAGAAATAGGCAATCAATGCTAATGCGGTAGTCGCCTCAAAGAACAGAAACCGCAGGAGCTTCACCGGAAAGCATAGCTTCGCACGCGTGGAATCTGCACGGGGGCCAAGGGCCACACGTTATCGCCCGTCGTGCAAAAAACCTCCGTGATGCACTGTTGCTCCGTACCATTCGCGTGAATCCAACGAATGCCCAGTGCAGGTGCATGTAGCTCAGGCTCTCACTTGACCTCCTTACACCGCGCAGGAATTAGTATGCACAATCCCGGTCAAAGGTTCTGCAGACAGTTGAATAACTCAGACGCGCGCAGGCCTGTCCTATATCCGGGATAGCCTCATTTTATTCCCTAATTGCATCTTCAGTCTTTTCTGTCGCTTCTCCTTTTCCCTCTCTCCAGGTCTTACGTGTACGCAAACCTGACCGTTGATGAGGCGATCACAAAACTTGTCGTCCTCGGCTCCGGCTACAAGAAGTACACAGCGCCGTCCCAAGCTGGTGAGCCAGCTTGTTGTTCGACGAGTGCGCGGATATTTGAGATTGTGATGATTCTCTTTTATACAGCGTGTGTATACTGAGCGTCTCCTTTTGCCCCTTTTTGCGGCCAGAATGAAGCGTGTGTCGGGGCCATTTGAAACTCTCGCTTGTCGGTTAAGGACAGCGTCTTCTCGTCGCGGTTAAGGCCACATGAGTCGTGCACTCGCGTTCATTTTGGTCAGGTATTAATCAACGCCCGTTCGACTTTTGAGGCCGGCCGGATACCGGTGGTACAGGCATAATTGACATATATGGCTAAGACGTGGGGCTTCTTCTAGACCTCGCGAAGAACAACACGAAAAACACTGAAAACGTTACGAGGCTTCCTGTTAGGATTGCGCTTACCCCATCCATGACCGCCCTTTGGGCGCAAAAGTACCGTATGGCACATCGTGTCTACTTTGCGATGCCACAGTTCAGGAAAGAACTGCACTGGTCTACAATATAGCCGTCGGCGTCAGCTCCGTGCAACAGGCCTCAGGACTGGCCGAGCACCCGACTTTGGCTGCTGGATTCCTGGACCTCACCACCGTTCTCTACTGGACCTTATACACGAAGCAAGCCTGTATGTGTATTTTTGAATCAAAAGTTATTATGCGTAGGAGCAGACTCCTGAAATAAAAAAAAAACACTGCACTAAATAAGAGCATATGCATGGTGCTCTGATGTTCAGCACTGGTGCCGATAAAACGTATTCGCTTGGAAGGTATACATTGGTTTATTTTCCAGCAATCAACGCCAAAAGCCCTCGAAGCTGACTATCACAATACGTGGTTTCTCTCGTGGGGCGCGAAACTATATATGACGCGTGTGAGGCGCTCTATTCGACGGACACGTGTCACATGCTTGACCTAATCTCCCGGGTCAATGAAGATGCTGGCAGTGCCCAGAATGTGCCGTTCGTGATATATTTCCGTGGCAACTAGCACCACTCAATATTTTAATTTTCGGTCGCAGGAATGCATTATTAGAGGTACAGAAAGCCTGACTCTGTATTCGCTAGTAGTCTTACAAGAAAGAGGGAAGACATTATGATGAAAAGAAAATCAGAAACTGCATTCGTAGTTTTCTTCGTTGCGCATCTTACCGAATCTAGAGATTCCCTCGCCAAGGCGCATCGTTCATCTTTGAAGCGCTTCATGAAAGGTGACCTTGCGTGCGCTACATTTTTGGCACGCGTTGAAGCGAGGAGCAGCGTATAGTCATTTCGTGTCCGCCCGGATGTAACGGGACCCTGCCGTTTTATGACATTAGGATCATTCTTCAGCGCTTCTCTTTACTTCGCTCGGACAGTCCTTGTGATTCCTGAGTTAAGCTTATGATATGTAGGTTCTCCTTAGTATTCAAGGGCGACGCCGCACAGAACTTGACCAAAGAACGAACTATAGAAAGCGAGGAAACCGTGCGTTGTGCAAGGCTGCGCGTAAGCACGCTCTTCTGATGGGGAGAAAGGAAGGCGATCGAATCCTTCGTGTTACGTTGCACAGCGTGTCCCCGAGCTAATCGGAATGTCGAAAATATCAAAGTAAGCGGTGAAAGGAAGTTGAGAGTCGGAGTAAGTAACGTTGGCTGCGTGCCTCGAATCGAGTACGTTTACTGCACTCCACATGCTTACGGGCATGCGTTTTGCTTTGCAGCTATAGCCCATTGGTATGCGTGCTGTGTCGTATAGGTTGTGTAATGAAGAAATGGGGGCCTCAGACAGCCAGCTGGACGTTTCCATAGGTGGGCCTATCTTTATCAAAGGCGATTTTGAAAAAAACAATTGTTGACCTATCGAAACGTGGACTAGCCTTTCTGAAGTACCATAGCCATGCTCATACAACCTTCATAGCACATTGTGTTTCCATCTGTTTCTATCGTTACGAAAACGTGGTAGCAATTAGTGACTCTTTCAACGGAAGGCGTCCGTGGGGGCGTAAGCCATGCTCAGCTTTCTGCCTTTCGTGCTACCGCGCAGTCAACAGTTAAAAAAAAATGTGTTAGAGGAGTTGTCGTCACTCCTTGCGTATGCGTGTGCTCTGTCCAACATACACAAGCGGGAGAAGGAGGTGTACGCACACCGATAACATAACCAAGTGCTTTCATAGATGAAGTCTTTCGTTGGCACGCTGTAATATTATATCACAGGTACGTCTTGTGGCGGCACAGCCGAACGTTGCCAAAAGTGACTTCGCTTCGTCACAGAACGGCATTTCAATTCGATGGACATGTTCATTCATAGACTACTGCGACGGTTCCCCGCTGAGTTGAAGGCCACCACGAATGGTTCAGGTTACATGGAGTGCCAAAGCGAATAGCGCGTGGGTTAAAGTATAAACACCTGCGCCAATTTTTTAAGCCTGGGGACGCAGTAATTCCGACTGGCGGGGAAACATAAAGATGAAAAGAGAAATTCAAGGCGAGAAAAAATTCTCGGCAAAGTAGGATTCGAAGCAGCGTATCAACGATCCGAAGGGCGGTGTGGTAACCCTTCGGTTATCCGGGAGAGCTTGCTATCTAAACAAGCATTTACGGATGTAACCATATGATTGTGTCGCTATGGGCACAACAGCGAGAAAAATATTGTGAGAAACAGAAAGAGAGGAAAAGTAAAGAAAAAGAGCGAGAGAAAGGGATCGAAAAGAAAGAGAGGGAGATAAAGGAAGAAGAAGAGAGAGAAAGGAAGTGTAGCATGCATTGGACATGTGTAGTGAAGTCTAGCAAGGGGATGAAAAAGGGAAATGAAGGCGTGGAGTGGGAAATCGGGGAGAAGATCGGGTAAAGCCTAGCATACTGTTGTGTAGTGTAGCATATAGCAGTAGGTTGAAAAGAAATATGAGAGACAGGGGGAGAAGAAGGCTGCAGCTCCGCTGTTTGCTCATGCTTTCGGACCAGCGCAGCTGCCCCAATTTTGCATGCGCACGTATTGACCTGAATCTATAAAAACAGGCAGGTTGGTAGCTAACTTACGTTGGCTGTATGCACCTAATCAATGATCACCGAAGCTTTAGGTCTCCCAAATATATGCACTGTGATGACAATTCTCCATTGAGTCGGAAAATTTACTCCAACAGTCCACTGTTTTGTCGTAACCTCGTGAATTTTTTTGTTGATTAAAACCCGGCTTATTTTTCCGAACGGTATGCAGAGTGACACAGACCTTGGAAGCATTACAATAGCCTAGCAATACATTTATTTCCTTTAATTCTGTTTTATGTGCTATTTCTATTTCCAGGTGAACCAGCGCAAGTTTACCTCGACATGAATCTATTGAACGTGAACCCGCTCTCAGGCGCGGAAAGTGTAAGCGGCAACATGTTTATTGAATGGAGCACTGTTTTATTTTTGTGTCATACTTAAACGGACGAATGTGTATACCAGTGGTGCTATGAAAAAAAAAACATAAAGTGTGCAGCATCAAGTGCACTTACCGAAGGCACTACTAAAGAAAACAGCAGCAGGCGCTTACAAGCTATACACTACACTAATACGCACCAAGTAATTAATTCAAAGGCGAGTGACCGGACACCGCGAATATTCATGCATAAATTGATTCGCTTGCATCCTCGCGTTAGTCGGCGCAACTCTTCGATCACGTGCAAGGTGTGTAGCTCATTCATACTTTGTAGCGTTAGAGCGACGACATTTGACGATTCCGAGGGGACCAATGGCTTCTCCTCACTTCACTTATTTATTTAGCCCCGCCGTGGTATGGTCTAGTAGCTAAGGTACTCGGCTGCTGACCCGCACTTCGCGGGATCGAATCCCGCCTGCGGTGGCTGCATTTCCGATGAAGGCGGAAATGTTGTAGGTTTGTGTGCTCAGATTGAGTGCACGTTAAAGAACCCCAGGTGGTCGAAATTTCCGGAGCCCTCCACTACGGCGTCTCTCATAACGTACAACGACGGGCGTACAACGTTGCCGCCTCCATCGGAAACGCAGCCGCCGCAGCCGGGATTCGATCCCGCGACCTGCGGGTCAACAGCCGAGTACCTTAGCCACTAGACCACCGCGGCGGGGTGATCTAGGTTCACAAGCCAACAATTACACCATGTTTTTATGTTTCTAAGGTCATACTGAATTAGTGTTTCGTCCTGAGTATTGGTTACTGATCGGTAAATTACGTAGTCATCTGCCAATATACGAAATTACACGATACATGCAATGTAGATTGGTAATATAAATTAAGAAGAGCAGAGGTCCTAGGACAGACCCTTGCGGGATACCTGAAGTTACAGGTACTCGGTTAGAAGAGTGAATATTAATAAACACGAATTCGGAGCGATTAGTCAGGAAGGATGTTATCCTGCAAGTACGCTTGGATCTAGATTTAACATAGCTCAAGATGTCTATAGCTCGTGCAATTATTACTCTAGCAGAAAAGGTGAAAATACTCTCGCTGATTACATGAATTGAGACGGCGCGTGTTGTGAACATATACTGCAACCAACCATCATAACAGTGAATGACTTCCACTGGTTTCACCGAAAAAGCCATGCTCAAGGGACAACATGGTGAGGGACGAAGTTTGTGATAGCTCGTTGATGTTACTAGTGCATTGCATGCAGTTTCTTTCGTTATTATTGCTTGCAGGTAGCAAACGTTCCAACGGCATCGTTATCACATTCAAGCAGGTTAATCAGCACATTATCATGCCGCTATGACGTTATCAATGTCGCCATTTTTAAGTACCGGTACTTTAGCCTTGTCGTCACGCGCAAGCTATCAATGCGGAACATGATATAAGGTCCTTTGTTACTTGCGTAAATTTTTACAGCTTTCTAACTAGGGTAACTCGAAAGCTGAGTGCATCTTCCTTGTAAAAAAAGATTTTTTTTAATTACGCAAATGTGTCGTCTGTCTTTGTTGTCGGTGAGCCACTACACAAGTCTTCCCGCCTCTCGGATTGTTTGTAGAGAATTTTCATTCCTTAGGAAGGTTCTGTACCTGTTGGTCTACAGCCTTAAAAAAACATGTACTTGTTTCTTGTTTGAAGCCCTTGGCAACATGTGGAAGCCTGGTTTGTTGGTCCTGTTTGTTGTTCAAGTGGCAAATAATTATCACTAAAGGAATCATAAGGAACCTTCTCGTGCAACAGCTCTAGAACCTGTCTAGTAGCATGTTCATTGTAGTAAGATTTTCATTTTTAACAGATTATGGCGCAACAAACTACTGCACAATCTTCGAAACTTTATTCAGCACTACCACTGACTTTCAACAGCTGTCCGTTGACCTATCTATAAATGGAAGGCTGTCGAGGCTGCTATCAATCGGGATGCTATATACATGAAATCGCTGGAAGATGAAAGGTGTCGCAAGAGATGGCACAAGAAATGGTGGGACATTGGAAGTATGAGCACGGAGTGTCCGGCTGTAGCGCAACGTTCTTAGAAACGAACTTACTATAACGACTCGTGTGTGTCGCCTGAAAGGCAACAGTAGAAGTCATCACAGTTTACTTTTTTTTTGTGTGGCCACGTTGAGGGAAATGATGACGAATGGGAAGCCGAAAAGTTCCTTAGGGATCGCGCTTACCGGGATCATCGAGTGGGTGGTGTGCGATGTGGAACACAGTTCGCGGCTATGTGTGTGTGTGTGTTACGAAACCAACTGTTGGTCGGAAATAGAACAGGCATCCCGCAAGAAGACTGCGATCCCCAATGTCATCACGTCAGGGCGTCGTTCAGCCGTTTTCATTTCTCGTGGGGACGGCCCGCATGGTCACGTAGCGACAGTAGCTCAGTAATGACGACTGGAGAAAAAGAAATCCGTCAGCTTCCCTTTCGCAAGACACGCGAGCTTTGCGCGTCAAAGAACCTTCTTCTCAGAATAGTAGCGGTGCTGGCGACACTGGCGAAAAACCTTTCTTGCGCACGTTGAAAAAAAATGTTATTGTATAAATTCATAATAAATTTGTGGGCATGGACCTAATATAGAACTTTTGAGAGGGCTAAATCGGGATATGGCCCCTCAGATCTTCGACAGTGTACCGCAGAGATGTTAATGATGGCGCTCAATCCGTCACCTGCGAATCGCAGATTTCTCTGACGAAGTGTTTCACAAGTTGAATTTGAGGTTGGAGGACCAGGTACCCTCGAATGATTAAAAGAACCTTTTAGCGCCTTTTGACGGTGGCATCACAAATGACTTCTCGAGGCTGCGTTCCTTTAGGCCCAATCGAGATACCCGAGAACGACAATGCTTTCGTCTGGAGTTAAACTTTCACATCCAAGTGCTGCGGCATAGTAATATGGCGTGACTTGCCTGGAAGGACGCAAATAGAGTCGCTGACTTGACCTGCGATACATAACTGTCCATATATAAGACAACACGTGCCTGCAAATTTTAGCGAATACAGGGACTGTAGGAGCAAACACAAGGGGAGGGAAGTGTCTACAGTTCAGCTTCCTGATCTCTGCTATTTCGTGAATACATCACGCGCAGCTGTATTACGACTGTCATCATTATATGTAATTTGGAATAATGATTTGCAAGAGATGAATACGCAGTTGAACCAGACAATGTCGACGCTCGCAAAGAAGTTTTTCGCTTCAACGTTGTGATGTTGCCAACAAATTCAAGATGTTCTACCTCTACATCGTTGCTTTTTTTTTTCTAACAGTGTGTGTCAGTTCAGTTTTGTGAAAATATTCTTGTCTAGAGATTTCGCGATGAAGGTAACATTTTGATGTAGAATTTGACCTGACCCCTCTTGTTGTTCTATGGGCTTCCTGTAGCACCAGTGAAGGCGCATGCAACTTTCTTATGTGTTGGTTACGTGCTCCATTCGAGTGACATTCGCTGATACTTCTGCGAATCCGCGAGTGTTTCATGAAGTTAATGTGGCTAAGTGTATTCTCACGCAAATCTTTTGAGATCTTACACGGGGAAGCGTTACGAAATAGTGAACAGCTCCAGAAAGCACTCAACACGTGGAACTTTGCCTAATAACTATAGGGCAACTTCGGATTCGGAGATGACTTCATGGGCTGGCAAGATATTGCGGCACATGAAACACGCAGTAGGTTATAGCCGCTGGCCTATGGACGGCAATTTCATCAAGCCACCACTGCAGTTCTTGCGTGTAGGTCTCATTCTATGCGGTTATATTTAAATAATAATTGTTGGGGTTTAACGTTCCAAAACCATCATATAACTATGAGAGATGCTGTAGTGGAAGGCTCCTGCAATTTCGACCACCTGGGGTTCTTTAGCGTACAGCTAAACCTAAGCACATTGGGAGCCTGGTCGCGCAGCACATCAGCACAGAAAGCCACACGAGCCCTCCTGAGATACTTGTCAGCAACTTCATTGAGGGACCGCCTGTGAAACTCGGCATTGTGTGTGTGATGTGACATGTGTCTATCCTTCTCTCTTTTACTCCCCCCTCCCCCTCCTCATGTGTAGGGTAGCAAACTGGACGCATAGTCTAGTTAACCTCCCTACCTTTCCTACATTCCTTCTCTCTCTCTCTCTCTGTCTCTCTTGGCCTCAAGCATTTCCGTCTCATTGAAAATGCGGCCGACTCGGCCGGGATTCAATCGCACCACCTGCTGGTCAGCAGCCGATTACCTTAGCCACTAGACCACCGTGGCGGGTCCTTCGGTTATATTTAAGCATACACTCATGTGGCAGATCGAGCTCGCAGTAAAATAAAGTCCCGTCAGCGTATCACGTGCACGTTCTACCAAAATTTTCCGCCTGCACCTTCATATTAGTGATTAGTGGGGGGTTGTGGGAAACCGTTCTGCGCATCTCCGATACCACCCTCCAAGACCGAGTATTGAGGTGGGTAAAGAGATTGCGGAGGCCTACCGCGACTGGTACACTGATGTTATGCCACGTGAATAGGTGTGGGACGCACGCTTTGACTTGGTGCTAGTCACCTCCCTCTTTCTCCTCCAGCCCTTCCCCTTTCATAGTATTTTCGCTCACTCACTCACTCACTCACTCACTCACTCACTCACTCACTCACTCAGCAAACACAAATGTATAGGGTGATACGATATTTGACAGCGTGGTAACATGAGTGGGCACTGCAACCTTTCCTGCCCAGGAATTCGGCCTACTTTCTCTGGTACGGCTGAGGTGGCACGACCCGCGGCTCAACCTGACCTTCTTCAAGAAGAACAGCTTCGTGGCGCTGCCCGCCTACCTCGAGGACGCGATCTGGACTCCACGGCTGGCATTCCTGGACGCGAGCGAGGTGCATCTGTTGGCCGCCACAGCTGACGATGCCTCGCGCATCACTCGGGTTTCCGAGGACGGCACCATTGCGGACACTCGCAGGTACCTCGTTGAACCCTTGCCTTCGCGATTAGTTCCGGCTGCAAGCCGCCGCAATTAATCGCGGAGGCCATGTTGGAAAGCAGTTTGTTCAAAGACGTAACGCAGGGCTCCCACCCGCGTATAGCCGCCCTTCTTTAGCTATTGTGCGGGAGTGCCGACTTTTCTGCGCGTCACCGCCGTATACGATGGAGCCAAGTTGCAAACAGGGCAAGAGGAAGTGCATGTCCAGGAAGCGCGCTCAGCTGGGCCCATCGTCTTCGTGGCTGTTCCTTCGTGAAAACGTCGCCCTGCGTTAACTCACTTTAGACGAACAGGCTGCGCGTCTTGCCCGTATCATTTATTCCGAATATCGGCAAGCAACCCAGATAATAAAATCCGCAGATACGTCGCACGCCCCCGTGCATAAGATAAGCTGACAAATGTGGATCGTCTAAAGTGAGTTGACGCAGAGCGACGTTCTCACGGAGGAACAGCCAAGCAGAAGATAGGCCCAGCTAAGCGGGCTTACTCTCGTCCTGTTTAGAACTTGACTTCGTCGTACGACGCTGACGCACAAAAAAGTCGGTGCTCGCGCACAATGACCAAAAATTTGGGTCGCTGTACCAGTGTGGAACAATTAGTCAAAAACGTATAAAGTACATCAAAGGAGAAACTGCATGTTTGCAATGATTGTTTTAAAAATGCGTACGTCGTATACTTCAGTGCATCTGTCGAACAGCAGACGAGCACAAGTAGGAAAAAGGGAGAAATCGTCATGAATGAACACCAGCGGCAGATAATCCTGGTTTCTTTTTTTTTTGGCCTTCGATCCGTGTTTGATTTTGGTGCGCGTATACTATGTGGGAAACTCCGTCACAATAACACTCAACGAGCTCGTGAAGTAGTGAAAAAGGGTTCCGCGTTAATTAAAAATCACTCTTCATGTGAAGATATCAGAATGAAACGTTGGGGGCTTAATTTCTTGGAAAACTCAGTACGCTACTGCAGCAAACAATGCTTTATTGTATGAGACTCGGAGCGCAAAGCACCGCCAGAGTAGTGCACCGCTTCAGGCAACTTGTTAATTAGGCGTGTGTGTTCAGGAATGTGTTGAGATGACATGGCGACGTGAATATTGCATCACAGACAACTAGGAATGTTCCACTATTTAGCGATTTTAACCAAACTCGTATTGCAAACGTATAGAACCCGAAGAATACTTCTCGGGTGAAAATTCAGCTTCTCTACTGATGGCAGATCAGTCTATATAATTAGAAATAACTGAGAGATAAATTCAAAGTTACATCCAAAGTGTCGTTTTACGACTCATCCAAATTTTAGGAATTATGCACTGATTACTATGCTCTGTGACATGATGCAGCAGATGTCTATGCATCGTAATTTTGTGACCTCTCCTCTCATCTCGACCCAACAGGTATGTGTTCAGAGTGTCTTGTGCCATAAACTTGGACCTCTATCCCTTGGACACACAGCGTTGTCCGTTCAGGATCAAGTTGCGTGAGTTGTTCATCTTGTTCAGTTATGAGTGATGCAACATCTCACTTCTACATTGCACACCACTGGGGAGACAGAACTTATATGGGGACTATAGTCACCATTTTGTAACGTTGCAGTTGTTTTTCGGCGTACCAAACTGATGTCCTAGTCGTGATTGTTGGCCAGGTGCCTGTAGCTGTCAAAATTTCAACCGCCTATTGCGCGACGTTAAGCCAACGTTCTTTTTTTCTCTTCGATTTTCTTTCTTATGCTGTGCACAAGAAGCAATTTACAGTTACGCCAAGAACTCACGAGGCGTGGGTTGTGACAGAGCTCTATGTTTGCACTGCTAGGCTGTCAAGATTGCTCAAATGTATATGGCACATGTTATTTATTACCTCAGGCTTCAAGTTAAAGTTTTCAAGTGCGGGTTCAAACTTCTTGGATATCGATTGTTCGTATTTTATGGCAAATCTCCTGCATTATAAATGTTGAAATTTCTGTTACTGGTGGGCTGGCGTTATTTCTCAATCCTGGTTCCTTCCTGGCACCCACTATGTGAAAGTGGAGAAGTCGCTCTACAAATAAATTGTTGAGGATATTTGTGGATGGGCAGAAGGATTTCGAATATTGCACATCATTACTCAGAAAAAATTAGGAGTTTAAAATGACGTGCCGAAGTGCCACAACTAGTGAGAGCTAGACAGGAGTCGCTGCTTATTCTCATAAATGCTTTAAATTTTAAGCTTTAAATGACGTGTGTTCCGTTGAGTATATGCGGAATTATCGTGTCTAATGTGGCCGTTTCAGGCAGCCGTGTCAACTTTCTTGGTGTGGACGTTACGATTACTTTTGCGCTTCCCACAGAGGGTCACACGGAATCCACGGCGCAGCTGCATTGGATCAGCGCGTTCAAGACTGGCGAGGAAAACGTGCTCTGGTTGCGCGGTGCGCGCCTACACACCATCACGCTGAACACGAGCGAGCAGACACTTGATTCAATCGCAGGTAAGGGTCTCTGAAGCATAGCATCGGCAATAAGAGTTATGTGTCGAAAGCACACGAATCACGGCAGTGCGATTGAGCAGCAGCTGGCGGCTGTATTATTTCTCCGTATTCTTCAGCTCAACATACTAGCCCACTTGCGTTTACGTTTAAATTCTCATGCTCGCGACGCAGCATTGCACTGATGGACAGAATTTGCCAAAAACCTTTGAGGTCGTTTTTCGAGCTAGTGTATTTCGTGCCTCAACTTCTGGGCAGGTGTTTTTTTTTTTACACGCCTGACACTCCGTACCTCAGGGTATGGAAGATTCAGTTCTTACATGCAGCTTTCGCAGAGCAAAAATTTCGTACGCGTTTGCATTTGCCAGCCTGGCTACATGCGTAGTTAATAAAAGGTGCCTTCAAGTTCGTCGAAAGGCCTAGACCATGACAGCTCACTTGAACATTGTTACGAATCACTGTTGTGGCCTCTGATGAAAACGAGACGTATTGAAGAAAAGTCTACATACCCATTATATTTGCTTGTAGTTTGTTGGTTTTAATGGCTTATGGTTAACAAATGAAGAAAATGACAACGGTGGTCTCGAAGAGAGGTACTGTACTAACGTCTGCTCTTTAAGTATATTCTACTTCAGAAGTTTAGAGACCGCGAGGCACAAGAAAAAGTGGACTAATTATGTGGTTTCGGCAGGCAACCATAGGTTCTTTTTTCGGCCTGTCCTGAAACACGTGAACAACACGTACTGCACGTGCAGTTCGGCTGATCACACTCGCAAACTACTCCGAAATTCACAGTTCTCCCAGGCCTAAATGGGCGTCAAAAGTGTGATAATTTTCCAAACATTCGGCACTTTTGTCGCCGGCTAAACGTAATTATAGATTTCCTGTTGAAGAATATTACGTGCCGAATCATGGTGTATAGCGAGCAGTCACAATGAATGTCAAAATCGAAAAGAAATAAATCTGAACTGCTAGTGAACTTTCGTTGCACTGCCTTATTTCCCTGTAAGATATCTAACTCTACACCCTGTCGACTTACGGTCTCATTGATGTCCCTGGTAACGCAGGCCGCCAGCGTTACCTGTTGTTGCAGTTCGCGTTCGGCCGCAACCCGTGGCCGCACCTGCTGAGCACCTGGCTACCGTCGGCCATGTTGGTGCCCGTAGCCTGGGCGCGCCTGTGGTTGCCGGGCGGTGGCCTGTTTTTGCCCTGCGCCGCCCTGGCTGGTCTGACGCTGCACACGACGCAGTTCAAGGCGATGCTGCAAGGACACGACCTGCTCACCGCCATGGACGTCTGGCTCCTGCTCTGCCTGGGATTTGTGCTCGGCGCCTTCTTCGACTACCTGATCGTCTGCTACGCGGTCTGAGCGCCTCGTTGTCTTTTGACGTTGTGTAGAGCCTCGTTATCTTCCATAAGGCTCAAGAGTGCATGTGCAATATAACAAAGAAGTTTCTAAATGATCAGCCCCGAAATTTATGGGGCAAAATAATATCTACAGCATGCAGCGGAAAGCAAAAAAAAAAGCTCACTTAAAAGACTAACTCTATTCGAGTTGGTACAGCAGATGGCTGGCTTATACAATTTTCTGCACACTTATTCATGTGAAATGCTTCAGGGATCTTGCGTGTTAGTTTATTTCGGTGCTAAACAAGCGCCACACAAAACTCGGTGCTTGTTTGTCTTCTTTCCTTGATTTGATTGATATGTGGGGTTTAACGTCCCAAATCCACCATATGATTATTAGAAACGCCATAGTGGAGGACTCCGGAAGTTTCGACCACCTGGGGTTCTTTAACGTGACCCAAATCTGAGCACACGGGCCTACAACATTTCCGCCCCCACAGCCGAGATTCGATCCCGCGACCTGCGGGTCAGCAGCCGAGTACTTTAGCCACTAGACCACCGCGGCGGGGCTCATTTCCTTAAGTACATGTTGTGTGTGCGCTGAGAAACTTTGCACAAGGAATTCCTTCCAACTCAACCAGTTTTTCTTTATACATTTACACGTAATATGTCTCGATTAACTTCGTCTCTTGTGTGTGTCGGTGCAGCACACGGACCATATGCATGCTAACGTACAGGCTCACTTAACTTGTCACGGCTATTCGTTCTGTTCGTGTTTCCTTCTACGTATTTATGTACTAGGCAGTGCCTATAGTAAGGCACCGCCAATGTCGTTCCTTGACGCAGAACCAGCGGACGTGGAGCGTGCAGAAACTGGCCGAGGACGCCGCCGCAGACGACTGGAGCCGCTTTTCTGACCAGGTGTACGTGGCCGATGGTTACCGACTCACGCACGAGGCCGGCACTCAGACACCGCCGGACGTCGGGCTGGACGAGGCGCGACACGATCGTCGCGCCTGGATCGTCTTCGTCTTCGGATTCCCGTTCGTTACAGTCTTCTACTGGGGCTATTATCTGGCCGCGTCTCGCTGACACCGTATGGCGCATCATCCCCGCACATTGTCTCGGACGCTGTGTAGCCACACTAAGTCTCATGATTGTTTTCTAATCTGAACAATTAAGCGAGTAATCCACAAGGCTTCTTCGTTATTCCAGGCGATAAGATTTGGGAGATGCGTGTTTTTTTTTTCTGTACGGTTATCGTTAGAACGAAAAAAAAAAATGTTTAGGAAATGCGGATGGCTTCTTATAGGTTGTCTTCGTTTAGCTAGATATGTAAATGCCTTGGAACCTGAACTTGGCAACGTTTAATGCTAGAACCTTATATAGTGAGGCAAGTCTAGCTGTATTATTCGTGAAGCTAGAGGGCATTAAATGGGATGTAATAGGAATCAGTGAGGTTAGTAGGACAGATGAGGCCTCTACAGCGCTACAGAACGGGCACGTCCTTTGACAAAAGAGAACTGGGAGTGGGGTTTCTTATCCACAGAAACATAGCTGGCAACATAGATGAATACTATAGCATTAATGAAAGGGTGGTAGGTATCGTAATTAAAACTCAATAAGAGATACAAGGTGAAGGTGGTACAGGCTTATGCGACTACGTCCAGCCATGACGACGCGCCAGTTGAACGCTTCTATGAAGACGTGGAATCGGCAATGAGTAAAATAAATACACAGTATACTATAGTGATGGGCGACTTTAATGCAAAGGTAGGGAAGAAGCAGGCTGGAGACCAGGCAATAGGAGATTATGGCATCAGTACTAAAAATACTAGAGGAGAGCTACTAGTAGAATTCGCAGAACGCAATAATTTGCGGATTTTGAATACCTTCTACCGAAGCGAGGGAACCGTAAGTGGACATGGAGGAGCCCTAATGGCGAAAATAAGAATGAAATAGACTTTATAATGAGTGCAGACCCAGGCATCGTGCAGGATGTGGAAGTGCTTGGCAAGGTACGATGCAGCGACCATAGATAGATTAGTACGATCCCGAATACGCCTAGACTTGAAGAAGGAACGACAGAAACTGATACGCAAGAAGCCAATTAACAAGCTAGCACTTCTTAGAGGGAAACTACAGGAATTCAGAGTCTCGCTTCAGAACAGGTACTCGGCTCTTATCGAGAAAAACAGCCTCAGCGTCGACGCAATGAATGATAATCTGACGAATATCATTACGGAGTGTGCAGTGGAAGTTGGAAGTACTGTAGTCAGACAGGACACTGGCAAGCTGTCCCAGGAAACAAAGAATCTCATTAAGAAGCGTCAAAGCACAAAAGCATCATGTACAACAGACAAAATAGAGTCGGTAGAGCTTTCGAAGTTGATTAATAAGCCTAAGTTATCCGATGTAAGGAGGTATAACATGGAGAGAATTAAACACGCTCTGAAGAACGAAGGAAGCGTCAAAGCAGTGAAGAGAAAACTTGGGATAGGCAAAATTCAAATGTATGCACTAAGGGACAAGGAAGGCAAAGTTATTACCAATATTGATAGGATAGTAAAATTAGCAGAGGAGGTTTACGGAGATCTGTACAACCATGACCTTAATATAAGAACTAGCTGTAACCCAGATGACAACCCACCAGTAATGATAGATGAAGTCAGAAAAGCCTTGGAGAGCATGCAGAGAGGCAAAGCTGCTGGTGAGGATCAGGTAACATCAGATCTGCTGAAAGACGCAGGACAGATTGTGTTAGAAAAACAAGCGAACCTTGTTATGAGGTGTCTCCTGACTGGAAGAGTATCAGAATCTTGGAAGAATGTTAACATCATCCTAATACATAATAAAAAAGATGACAAGGACTTAAAATTACAGGCCGATCAGCTGGCTCTCCGTAGTATACAAGCTATTTACAAAGGTAATTGCTAACAGGATTAAGACAACATTACAATTCAATCAACCAAAGGAACAAGCAGGATATCGAACAGGGAACTCAACGATCGACCACATTCATGCTATCAATCCGCTAATAGAGAAATGCTCAGAATATAGCCAACTATACATAGCCTTCATAGATTACGAGAAGGCGTTTGATTCAGTAGAAATATCAGCAGTCGTGCAGACACTGCGGAATCAGGGCGTCGACTAAGCATATATAAACACCCTGGAAGAAATCTGCAGGGGATAAACTGCTACCATACTGCTTCATAAAGAAAGCAACAGAATATTAATCAAGAAGGGTGTAAGGCAGGTGACACAATTTCTCCAATGCTATTTACCGCGTCCTTACAGGAGGTTTTCAGAAGCCTAGAATGGGAACAGTTAGGGATAAGAGTTAATGGAGAGTACCTTAATAAGCTGCGCTTCGCCGATGACATCGCATAGCTGAGTAACTGCATGAGGGGACGAATTGCAACTCATCACGGAGTTAGACAAGGAGAGCAGGAAGGTAGGTCTTAAAATTAATCTGCAGGAGATGAAAGTAATGTACAACAACCTCGGAAGAGAATAGCGCTTTGAGATAATTGTGCACTAGAAGTTGTAAAAGACTATGTCTTCTTAGGACCGGTAACAATCACGGAGCCGAACCACGAGACTGAAGTAACTAGAAGAATAAAAATGGGGAAGCACATTTGGCAAGCAATCTCAAATCATGACGGGTAGATTGCCACTATTCCTCAAGAGGAAGGTATGTAATAGCTGCATCTTGCCGGTACTTAGCTACAGAGAAAAAACCTGGAGACTTACAAAGAGGGTTCAGCTTAAGTTGATGATGACGCAGCGACCAATGGAAAGAAAACTGGTAGGTGTAACCTTAAGAGACAAGAAGAGAGCAGAGTGGATTAGAGAACAAACTGGGATTAGGGATATCATAGTGTAAATCAAGAAGAGGAAATGGACAAGGGCCGGGCATGTAGCACGTAGACAGAATAACCGCTGGTCATTATGGGTACACTAACTGTATTTCCTAGAGAAGGCAAGCGGGTTAGGGGGAGACAAGAAGTTAGGTGGGCAGATGAGATAAGAAGTTTGCGAATATAAATTGGCAGCAGCAAGCACAGAACCGAGTTGACTGGAGGAAAGTGGGAGAGGCCTTTGTCCTGCAGTGGACGTAGCCAGGCTGATGATGATGATGATGATTATGATGATGATGATGATGGTGATGATGTAAACTTAACCTCACCACCTTTCAAACGCGTACTGGTCATCATTTAAGTGATGTTTGCTGATGTCTCTATTATATGGTTTCACTTGCAGACATCATCTAAAGCCAGACATAGAGAAGTGTTCGCAGCGAGATGAAAGATGACAGCTGTGTTCTGCATGTCGATCCTGGCATCGACTTGTATGTAGAGGCTGGAGTTAGGAAGTCTGTAGTCTATAAACTGTGGCTGCAGTCTTGTTCGGGTATACCTTTTGATCTCTTGCGGACATAAAACGTCCTGTATACGTTCTTTTAATTTTATTCGTGGTTCTTGTAATATTTTTTTCGCCACCTGATAAGATGTAGAAAACACCACACGATTCGTTGCCACTCTTGTTTCGTGAGTTCACTGTGCCGTTTCACGATGGTGCAGCGCCACCTCAGAAGCGTGGGTGCCACGCGACACGAGAGTCGGCCAGAAGCGAATGAAAAAGTATCTGTGCGACGCAGGTCTGCTCCTGTGCGGCGTTAGGCTCCTTCGATTGCCTGAACTGTGCGACCTGTGCTGTGTTCGCATAGTGACTGCCCATCACTTTTGTCAAGTTCGTGGCTTCCAACGACTTCATACTTTTGCTGGAACACGTGTACGGTTTCAAGAGCCATTCATAGTGTAATCGTTAGGGTTCTTATGTTCCAAAACCACAATATTATTGTGAGGAACGCTGTGGTGAAGGTCTCCACGAATTTGACCACCTGCTGTTCTTTACCGAACAGTGACGTCACACAGTACTTCTAGCACTTCGCCTTCATCTAAACGCGACCGCCGCGGTTGGGATCAAATCCGCGACTTGGTAAGAGTAATAAATACTTTATTTACGTAAAGCGTTCTGTCTTTTGTCTCTCTGGTTGTGGCCGCGTTTGTTCGTTAATACTAATTTTTGGGACTGGTTTTACATTATCAAACTAGGATATGATCATGAATCCATAAATTTCAGACAGTGTTTGTTCGCTCAATCTCTTGCCGAACAACACAGGTCGATTCCAGAGGCAGTGCAATCAGCCGGTCAAGTGGGATTCGGGCATTCCTTGCTGTATGTACACGCGCCTTGGCATCCTGCTTCATAGACACTTGGTATACCTCAAGACTTAGTGTACAGAAAATGTATAATTACATGCGCCATAACGCGAAGGAGAATGGCGTGGAACTCGCGATGCAAGAAGAAACTGGACACTTCTTTGGAGCGCAGCGTAGAGTTGGTAAATTTGGGACAGTTGAAGGAATGCGACAGTTAGCCATTCGGCACGTTAGCCAACTATTCATGAGGAGGTGCTGACATACCGATTGCATGTCTCTAATGGCCGGTGTTTTCGGCGGATTGAGATAATCGCTTTTTTCACGCGTCGAAAGTAAGTTTATGATACCTCAATTGTAACGCTTTACAAACGCCAGTACCATTTTGTTTTTCAGCAAGCACGCATGAACATCGTACTTCTTCAAAGAGAAAATTCGGGCTTGACCACAGAACTTTGGGCAACAAGGTTTGTGACAATTGATTTCAGGATGGAACGCAAAACTGTCAGTTTTACCCCTGCAATAAGACTGGTGCAGTGACTGGCAAGGCAGCTTCGAGGGTAAGCTTTGCTGGCCTTAAGAGCAGGTAATATTTTTATTTCGCATTTTAAACAGATAGATATTCGGTGGTGTGAAAATTAGTACGATAAAATACTCGCTAAAATAGAAGGATTCTAAAATACACATTGTCCCTTTATTTCAAGCTGTTTTATTGTCGCTCCAGGCTAAACGAGGAAGTTGCCGGCTTAGTGCTGCTGATTGCTTAAGAGAGGTTGAGCTACTCCTATAAATGACGAAAAAAAAAAAAGCTTGAACCCGCTTTGTAGGAGTTGTGAAGAAGAAGATGTGAACGTTCTCAACTGCGTG